TATAAAAATGAAGTAAAAAAAAAAAAAAAAAAGATTGAAATATCACATTTTCTTCCATGTTTTAATTTTAACAAATAAAACTCAAGCAGCACAATTTTTATATTTTTTAGTTTACATTTTTAAAATATTAATTTAAAATGCCAATGTTTTATGCCTTAATTTGATTAGCACCGTTTTTGATAATACATTTGTATTAAATCATACACAAACGGATAAATCATTTCTGGAAAAATGATTATTATTATTATAATAATTAAACCTATTATTGTAAAAAAAAAAAAAAAAAATGTAATAAATTATTATATTGTCAACATTTTCTGAATTTAATTGATTAAACATGCTTTTTAGTTATAAATGGTAATAAAACAGAATTTGGGGGGAAACTAATTAATAAACAGATTAATTTAATTATTGTTAAACTGTATAAGTTTCAGGATTTCAATTAATTAGACATGCTTTTTGATTGCTACTAAATTTAATTTAAACATTAGAATGAAATGTTAAAAGAGAAAAAAAAAACGAATTTAGGGAAAAATAAATTCAATACAGAATGGATTTCCCAGGGCCCTAAAATTTAGTTTTTATTAGACTTTTAATAAATTGTTTTAAAATTCTATACGTTTCATGATTTATAATTACTGACATGCTTTTTGATGGCCAAACTTTAGTTTAACCATTAAAACGGAAAGCAGACAAATTAAAATGAAAAAAACTAAACATGGAATCCAGAAAAAATAAATAAAAAAAATAAATACATTTTAGGGAAAAAAATAAAACGGATTTCTTTGAAAAATTAAAAATGTTATGTTTGTTAAACATTCTTTTTGTCAAATTCTTGTAAAGTTGTATAAGTTTCATGATTTCCGTTAATTAGATGTGCTTTCTTCTAACTAAAGAAAAAATTGAAACGGGAAAAATGGAATCCAGAAAAATTATAATTATAAATATTTTGAAAAATCCACACAGAAACTGATTTTTGGCCATAACCTGTTTGAGGATTTTCCAGTGATGCTCCACACTACCCATAATAGTGGCTGTTACCATGGAAACAGGAATCGTCTCCACAACGAAGAGGTTTATTAGGCTTGTGAGCGGCGTAACATGAGTTAATATGGGATGCTTGAGTGTTACAGAATAAACGACAGTAGTGATGCTTTCTGCCACAATAATACTGCTCTGATGCTTTTAAAACTGGTTTTGTTCAAGGCTTAAAGGTCAATACTGAAGAGTTCACTTTGAGCTCACTATGAAAACATGAAAGTGATGAGCACTACATAGAACTAAGTCATAAAACTGCATCTGGATACACACGAGATCTTCACACCTCAGTTCTGTTGGAGTTGCTGGAATGTGTAAGGTGACAGGAAGTACCTCTTTCTCCTT